AAATTGAATGTCGTCGGCTAGATCTATGGAAGGACAATGTACCTTTTTTCCGGGGGTTCGATGTCGGCCGAGTAGACAACCGCGCTTAAATGGGACGTCAACTTTGAAGATTTACACGGCGTCTGCTCGCAAGAACTGTCACGCGGGGCGCTGTCTGCCAGAAAAAAACATGATTAATCGAGAGGACCGAAACTTCTTTGGCGCGACTTCCACAGATTCCGAGCTCCGCTCTCCTCCTCTTCGTCTCGCTCTCTTCGCGGAACGAACTTTGCCTGTCCTCGTGCGAAAGCGAGCTTTATTCGAGGACCGTTTCGTGGTTATTGGACTCGCTTCCGTCATGTTTTTGCGTTCGATGGGTTTCCCTGGGCCTGGTTCAACCGGACACTTGGTAATTTGCGGACGCTCGTTATCATACCGCGATGCAGCGAGCTCCGCAACCAACCAAGTGAAATACGTCCTCGAGGAGGAGCATCGTAGTTCACACGGACGACGTGGACGCTGGTCGTTACAGTCACGGTTCGCGCGTCTCGAAGCGTGTCGCGTTAAAATTTTTGTCGCGGGTTCACTCAAAAACGACGACGAACTGTCCGGGAGCAGTCTCGCTTCCGAGACAAAGCGCCGGGTACTGCAAACTCGAGCCAGCGCGTTTAAAACGTCAGCCATCGGGCTGTTGCCGCGAAATTATTGCTCCGTCTACGCATTGTCCTCGCCAACGGCACACCGCTCGTCCGCGTTCCAGGGGCGCGGGCCGCGAATATCGACTTCCGGTCGCCGCCGCGAGCAATTTCGTACGGTTAAGCTGGAACGGCGACCGCGCCCGCGCTTTGCTAATTTTCCGTGCATCGAGCCACGCTTATGCGAATTAGGACGGCTCTCTTCGTCGCACAGTTAACGGAATCATCAAACACTAGATATTTGATATGAAAATTATGTTTTGTTTCTGTAGCGTTGTGCCAGTTTTCTGCTTCTGTTATTATTGTGGAACGAACGTCCATTCAAATTTTGTACGGCCAAGCTCATTTGAAAACGTCGCTTAACACTGTTCCAACGTAAATTAAACAGACAACCCTTTCCTACAAACAAGAATGTAAACAATATTTTGGGTAAGCTTTCAGACTTTCACATGAAGTTTATCGAATTCTAGGGAAAGTAGATGTTCTACGATAATAGTAGAAGTAGAAAAGTAATATATACAGAAACAAATAATTATGTTTCTATCGAATGTCTAGTGTTTGACGATTTCGCCACAGTGTGCGTCGTTCAGGCCTATAATCGTTCGTGGCGCGCTGCCACGCCACCGATGCTCGGACCGCGATCCAATCGATGCGGATTACGAGCCGCGTTCGTCCTTTCCGCGGGACTGGCAGTCCAGTATGGTTTCCGTGGACGAGCTTCAGCATCCTCTTATCATGGAACGAGTAACGAGAGTCTCTAACGAGTTCTCGATCTTGATTTTTCGTTCGTTTCGTCCGAAAGTTGCTTCCCCGTTCTTGTAACCTCCATTGCGCGAAGGTCTCGATTAACTCTATTAAGCAGAAATTTGGCTATCCGTGAACTTAATAATTCAGAGTTTCGGATCGCGCATCGGAACTCGTACAATCGAGTCTCCCGTACGAACACGCTTCGAATAACTCCTTCGCGAGCCTCCGTTTATCCGGTCTGTCGAGCGGCTAATTAAATCGGATCATCGAAGTTGCAGTGTATTCGAAAGTTCGCTGTTCGAAAGAATCCGGGGAGAGAGGAGCGCGATTAGCGGTTGCCCGCAAAGCGCAGATGACTCGAATTGACTCGGCCAAGCTCGCTTAACCTGATTAGTGGCGTGGCGGCTGGTACAGGGGTTGAAAACTGTATTCGGAACAGAAGTTCCGTCGCAAACAAACCCGTGCGCGACAACCAGCGGCTAAAGGCTGACGGTAAATGCCGGAAATCCGCTTGTACGCGTCTTCAAAGCGGATTACCGCTGGAATCGCGTTGCAATTTGACGCCTACAACGCATCCGCCCGGCGACCTTATCGCTTTCCCGTTTTTGCCGCCTTGAAAGCACTCGTTTCCCAGTAACCAGGGCTTTTCATTATCGCGGCGAATCTCTTTCGAACAGTTTTGCTTCCGATTAAACGTGAATCGAGCGGTTCTCGATGCAGATGCGTCTTTTAATTCGACCGTTACAAGCTGCCGTCGCGTTTCCCGCGGCCGAAAGCGGAAGAGAGACGGCGCGGAACCGATCGATGGAAAGTGGAAAGAAGATAACGTAATCGACACGCGACGATACAATCCGTTTACACCTCGTTTCCGATCCATGGACATTTTTCAAGCTCCCCCGCGAATTTCCGCGGATAAAAGAGGAAGACGAGGGAGCGAAAGAAAACGGGAAGGAGTTTATTTCGCGATGCACGCTTGCAATCTCAATGCCCCGCAGCGTTCATTCATCCTCGCGCACGCACACCGACTCCGTCATGGAATTCCGGCTATATTAAGATTCAAACCCGGTTTCCCCACTAATTTTCTATATTCCGCTCGGCGCCCGAACCTCTTTCCCGCCGGAGATTTATTGAACGCGCCTCGATCGGGCGGAAGCAATCACGCTCGATGTTGCGCGCCGAGCGAACGCGATCCAACGATCGCTTCATCCCGATGTTTACTCCGACACGCCTCCGAATCGTTTAGAAAGTTTCCCCCTAAATGTCGAGTTCGCAGGCGAGTCCGTATCTTTCGGCGAACGGTTGACGAGGCGATTTCGAGTCCCGAAAGTATCGCGAATCGGCGAGAAACGAGCGACACTCGCGTCGCGGCTGATAAAGGAGGAACGCGAAAATAGCGCAACAAGTGCAGTTGCGGCAACGACAGCTGCTGCTACAGCCGCGCGTATTATATTAGAAATCTTGCCGCGTTCTCCCGTCCGAGTTTACTCCTTCAGCACTCCGGTTTTTCCTGGGTCGCGACTCCGTTGCCGCCCGGACCGTACGTTTTCACGTTTCTCTCTATCGTCTGCTCCGAGGATTTTCCTCTGTCTTATCGTCGACATCGCGCGGAAGCGCATCACCGGAATTTCTCCTCCTCGAGATTGCCGTTTCCCACGGAATAACGACGATTGTCTTTCCGTCGCTTGTTTCTGTGCGATGTGATTCCCCGCGGAAAATAGAAAGTTTCTCCTTCGTGACCCGAGCGAACGATCGATAGCCGGATCGGATGCGCGGATATCGTCCCCGGAATCGCGTAATTGTTTCGTACGGCGAGCGGAACCAGTGGGAGGAAACATAAATCAGGTTGGACGTTAATTTTGTTTTCAGCGCCGACGGCAACTACGAGGTGACCATTATGACCAAGGCAATTTTGCACCATACGGGGAAGGTCGTGTGGAAACCGCCGGCGATCTATAAATCATTCTGCGAGATCAACGTGGAGTACTTTCCCTTTGACGAGCAGACTTGCTTCATGAAGTTTGGTTCGTGGACTTACGACGGGTACACGGTGAGTAATAAGATTTTACTAACAATCCGTTCGCGGTGGCGATTAATCATAGTCGCGGAATTCATCTGAGCCGAGACATTTGTGCCCTGTCGTTATCACGTTTCGCGTACACGCCTACGAAACTCGTCTTTCGACGCGTGATTACAACTAGTGAAATCATTCGTCGCATCGCGCGGTTCGTGGGCAGTTCTTATTTTCAAACTGTTGCGAGGCGAAAAAAATTTCCCTGGCGAAGCTTGTGCGATTATACGATGTTTCACGAAATTGATCAAATACTTTCCTGATACTTGTTATTCAATCAAAATGTAGCGACTAATTATACAGTTTTGGAAATGCATTTCATCGATCATTAAATTGTTATCTTAACAAAATAAAAATACAGGACATAGTGCAAGTATTATGTATTAGTACAATAATGAAACAATAAACAGAATGCTGAATTTTATCAATAACGTGACTCAGCGTCAGTTTCAATATTTTGTATATCCTTTAGCGTCAATAACACCTTGAATTCTCCAGGGCATACTTTCAACGAGTTTTTATATTATACAGTTGTAATTTGATTCCACTTTCCAGCTAGCGATGCGAACAAAGAGGCTAGGTGACCTTTTTCGAGCGTTAACTGTTCCAAGTAAGCCATATTTCAAGGAAACCAGGAACAATACTACTGTGATCAATTCCGTCGGTCACTGTATCCACGAGAATCGATCGTTTCACGATCGCGCGATGCCGGCCATCCATCTTCGACGTTCGTGGTCGATAAATGCGAGCCTTTTAAAGCTCCGATAGACTCGCAGACTGCCTTTAAAAACTAGCAACTGGTCCGGATAGGCGAGAATCACCGTATCATCGACGGTCCATTTATATCTGCGATCACGGACTACATCTTCCTCGCGTATTTTCTTTTACAAGGCTTTTATTCCCGTGCCCGAGCCGATAGAACGATACGCCGGCCACCATAAAAATCGAGCGACCGGGCAAGGAACACCGCTCCTCGGCGAAACGGTCCCCTTATGCATTAAACATTTCACACGCAAATTTTCACGCATCGCGCACTGTGTAAAGCTGACATCGGTGCGCGGCTTACGGCCCCGTAAAACTTTACGCCGAGTAAAACAGTTATTTGTCCGGCAACGCCTCCGATGCGTTCGGTTTCGGGAAATCAATAGGGATTGCTCGCCGAGGATACGTCTTCGAAGAATCAAGTCGGTTCTTCGGGGATGGTCGCAACGATGTATTTATCTTTTGAAAAAGTGAGGAACAAATTCGTGTCTCGTGTTGCTTACTTATTCTTCCACAGCAAAAGGTATCAGTAATTAGAAATGATTCGGTATCGCCAACAGCACCTCAAAGCGTGAACAGCACATCGCGTCACGGCTCGATGGATTTTTTACCCGGCGTTTCAGTAAGTCGATAGTTTCACTTCCAAGAACCACCAGTGTCGTTACCAGGATTGCGTTTTGCGGGAGAACTGTTTGGAAAAGGGTCGACGAATCGGCGAAACGCTTTCTTGGAGGAGAAGTCGTTCCAGAAAGCCGGGAGAGCTACGGAATTTCGTTGCATTAGACGTCGCGTCTGCTCGGAAGGAGTACGGGGCTAAAGAAATCCGAGTAAAAAGCGAAACGTTACGACTCGGCCAAGATATGCAAGACGCATCAATGGAATTTGTTAGATTCTGCTCCTTCCAGGCCGCGCTTTTTCGCTCAGCTTCGAGTCGAGTCGGGCCGCGCGCACTTCCTTTCTCGTCCGACGGATTTATTACATTTATTCCGTTCTTACATCCCGGTCTGCTGGCCCGCTCGCCCACTCGCTCGCCTTTGCTCTCGGTTTCATTAATTCCACGCACGCGTGACCGTACACTGAGCGGAAATTTTCACGGGAGCGATTTCACGGGGGTTCCTATTTCGTGACGCGAATCGGTGCAGGCTTTCAGCCGGGCTGTACGCGAATTAGTCTCGGCCGTCGGGACGATCCCGGAACGATCTCGGAACGATCACGCGGCTGATCGTGCCCCGGCTACGTGCTCTATCTTCGTTCAATCTCGGAGAACTTGGAATTCTTCGGGCGACCCCGGTGACGGCGAGGATCCGGTGACATTTTCGCGGCGCGTTCGCTCGCGTATTTCTCATGGAGATCGATCGCTTTACGGGCCCGCCGGTCATATTTTGATCCGCGTCCGGTTACGGGCCAATAAAGTATTCCTTGAGAGACCGCCGGTCTCGCTCGCTATAAATTCGGTCACGCTCGAAGTCGCTTCAATTCCATCGGAGGAATAAGGAAACGCCACGAGAACGCCACCTTCGAACGCCGACCGGTCGAAGGGCTGACGTCAAAATCGATCTCAATAAATTGGAATAGGACCGGTCGAATTAGTTTGAATTCGGAAGATGCTCGTGGCAGGGAAAGGATCGTACGTCATCGCGCGCCGCGACCTAACCTGTGCGATATCTCGGCGAGACACGGGCTCGAATCGACAGGTGCATTTTTCGTTCGGCCAATAAGCTCGCGGAACGCAAACGAGGTCGGGGCTGGTCGAATGCCGTCGAAGCGGTGGGGAAAACGGCGGCGCGGACGCGGAACCGGAAAGAACGTTCGTTTAACTTTTCACGCCGCGTCTAAACAATTTATTACGTTAGAAGTTACGTTGACAGTTCTATTCCCCGGTGTTTTTCTTTCATTCGTTTCGTGGCCCAGCCGTTACGGATCCCCCGAGCATCTGGATTCCAAAGCATTCGAATCGCTATACGTCTCGCTCCCCGCGGAATAATTCATGTCGCTGCAGAGCCACCGCAAATCTTCGATGAATTACTTAACCGGTCGCCGTGCCTGGTTCTTTCGCTAAATTGCACGTGACGGGAATGTTTGTTCGCCGGTGAGCGCGCCTAGCAGGCGTGTTATATATTCATACGCGTCCGTCTATGATATTTTTGCAGCTGTCGCGATCCACTTGCCCAGCAGGATCGCCGGCGCGATGAAATTTCCACTCGTCTTCGTTCCCTCGTTACCTCGCGGTCGATCGATAGACCGGCGAACGTCGCGGGGATTACGCCCCGCGTTCGAACAGTTTCGACGACTCGTCGGCTCCGCCCCGTTTCTTCGTCCGGCGAACGAAGCGTTCCGATACGATCCCTATCGTTTACCCGCGGAACGAAACACCGGAATCGATTCGTCGTCGGCGATAAACGCGGAGGCGTGGTCGTTCGATTAAAAAATTCCATAGAGTACCGGTTGTCAACGTCGCCGCACTCGCGGGATCGAATTGTTTGCCGTGGCTCGCACCGAGCGAACGCTCAAAGGGAGCGCGTACAAAGTGCCGTCGCGGAGTCTCGGGGACTCGATGCTCGGGAAAATCCGAAAAACAATAGATCGTCGTAAAGTTGGGCGGAATGGAATCCATTCGGTACCCTCGTCGCCGGAAGAGTAACCATTCTCGACAGAAGAAAGTTCGTAGCAGAGTTCGCGCCAGCCACTTTCCGACTCCCCGTTTATCTCTTCCAAGCAATCAACCGTCTCTGTCTCGCTGATGAGACGCGTTACCGCCGAACTCCGCCGGGGATTTGTTTCCTACGCCGGTTCTATTAACATCGACGGCTGACGTTTAGTCCGCGGCTCCCTTCGATCCCCGGTATCGCTCGGAACTAGCTGAATCCTTCGGAAGAATGACGGGCGCAGACGTCGACGTCGATAAATCGCTCGCGTCGTTGAATCCCGCCGTTCTGTACCATCGGCGATTTTTATTTTCGTGCCTGCAACCGATCGCTTCCGCTCAGGTAAAACATCCATTTCCCCGAGCGTAGCCCGTGCCGCGCCGCGCCGTTCGACTGCGAGCAGTCGATACTCGGCTAAGGAACGCAGCCACGCGTCGATAGAACGCGAGGCTTGCCCGAGTCCCGTTTCAACCGGAGGCCGGTGCGTTGCTAAGGTAACTCTTTCCGTTTCCGTTCTCTCGCGATTCTCTGCTCGCGCCTTTGCCCTCCGACGTTATTCCACGTCGCATCGATCGAAACCGGGATCGAGATACTCTGTCGTAGGGTTTTCGACGCGTCTGTTAGCTTAAAACGAGCCACGCTCCACTCGCGAGAAATATTTCACGCCCTTCGGTCTTCCTGCGGACGTATAATCTCTTCGTACCGCTGGAACGCCGTGTCAGCCATCGACGAAACGTCACGATTCATCGGCGCCCTTTTTGAACAGTCTTCTCGCTTCACCAGCGATCACTCTCCCCCCTCCCCTCCCTGTTTCATCACTTCGTTCGTCCCTCATTCGGACACCGATGAAATTTCTCCTCGGCAATCCGCGAACGCGCGCGTTCTGCGACTGTGCTCGTCGCGACGCAATCGGATCGAGCTACTATCGTTCGACCGACGATGTCCCGTATTAACTATTCCACGGATTTTTATGCATTCCTGGGAAATCCGAGAATGCGATACCGCACGGAACCCACGCTATTCGAGGATACATATGAAACACCCGAAGCGCAGTGCGGTTTAGAGCGTTCGATAGGAAAATTAATTTTCTATCGTATTTAAATTTGCGGAAAGCTACGCCGTCTATTGATTATCGATGCAATATTGTTACCGTTCGATTCCTGCCCGATAAAAGGTATCCGTTTACATAGAAACACGAAGTCGTAGTCTTGAATTGAAATTGTTACGGTCGACGCACCGCGAGCTGGGTTTTTAACCCTTTGCAAACGAATGTCGACACTGCCGAGTTCAAACTCTCATATTTTTAATACTAAGTTACACACAAACAATAATTACTAAAACAACAAAAGATCAGTATATTGTTCCTTTTTTCTCTGTTATTTAAACATTCGATATGTAAACATACAAATGTAATTTGACAGGATCTGCCTTAGGTTTTGTATACCATAAATAATCTTCATCCGCAAAGGGTTAAAGAGAATAATTAAGAAACCCTGAGAGGAACTTCCGCTTTGAGACTTTAAATACTTCATTACATGTTCGTACAAAGTATACGCGAATATTATTAAGATACGAGAGCAAGGTACGCATAGACGAGTGTACCCGAGCGATTTTCGATATTTCGTTGGCAGCCGTCGCTCGGAAAATACGATACGAGAAAAATAATTCACCACGAAAGAACGGATCGGGATGGGTTTGGGCTCCTCGAGGAGTTCCCCGTGGTCTCTCCCTGTGATCCCGATGACCGTGCGACCTTTCCTTGGATGGACAGATTTATCCTTTCCCGACAAATCCAGCTGTCCGTGGATCTCACCGCCGAGCAACCATTGCGGGAATAAATCCCGCGTCTGGAACGATAAACCGGACCGTTCTTGAGCTCGACGTTGCGGTCAGTCTTTCCAGGCACCCTCTTTCGTTCTCGATTCCGTCGTGTTCGACCTGGCTCGTTGAAATCTGAGGAGATCTGCTTTCAGATCCTCTCCCCGTAAAAATATGAAATTCTCTCGCAAAGATACTCCCTTGTTCCCTGTTTCTTCCTCGATAATTGAACGCGATCTTCTGGCGAACGGATACGTCCTTCCGGAGAACGATCGCGAGTGCGAGGCACAGATTTTAAGGATTTAAATTCGGTACTCGAATACCGCCCGATAGCGCCTTTGCTCCGCGTCGATATTCCCCTTTAAATCGGTGGCTTTCGATACGGCCATCCGTAGCTCGTTACTCGCTTTGTCCAGGCGCTTCCCCCGACAAAGGGTGCGCGCGAGACATCGATTAGAAGCTCGACCTACTTGGACGCATCGATGGCATTATTTTCTTTATTTCCTTCGAGACGGTCGATCCCGGTTCAACAAGTCTCCCGGAAAGCCTGGGATAATTATAGAGACACGGCTTTTCTCGCTCCGTCGGGATGTCGGGGGCGCCGACATCGACCGACGGTTATCCTCTCGCGTTGCCCGGTCGCGATCGGGTTCGAAGTGCTCGTCGGCCCGCTCACGGACGAGACGGAGGAAACGCGTTGAGGTTAACCCGAACTGCGGTCTCCCCGTGAATCCGGCGATCTCAAGGAGACCGGTCCACCGGCGAGGATCGAGGCGCGTTTCGCGACTGTCGGAAGTTCGACCGGAAACGGAGAGATTTGGCTCCACTTCTAAGAGTTTATTTCCGCTCCCGGATACGACAGGTTCGATGGAGACGGAGCCGGAAAGGGGGAGCTAGCCCGGCAGCCACCCATTAGAGGTATCCAATTTCATTGGTTCGCTCGGCTCGACTTTTTCCCGAATTCTCCTCCGGGCCTTTTTCCCTGCTCCTTCTCCCCGCACCGTAAGCGGTGCTGTTTCTCGTGTTGAACAATTGAACCCAGCGTAGCGCGAAAGCGAACGAAATCGAGTGGGCGGAGAGTCGCGCGGCGCGTGTTCCGGAAATTTTCTTCGAGAGCGGCTCGGGCTGATTAAAAACTTACGCTCGAGCGAGGTATCGAAAGTTTCGGATTAAGTTGCAGCGATTTGTTCGGGGGATTTTCTATACGTCTCCGGTGGCTCGTTGCCGGTCGAAAGGAAGTTCAGGTGAACGGCTGTTCGCGTCGGATGCACCGAATAAAGTTTTGATAATTTTATCGGGTCGACGCACGGTACGCGGTCCAGTGAAGAAACATATAGAAACGAAGTTTTATGTTTCAAGAGAACGAACTTAGTAGAGGTGTTCAGAGATAAATGATAAATTAGAAAATAGCGATAAAGCAGAGAAAAACGGTATTAAATATGTGTAATCGTTTATATAGTATTAACACGTTGACTGCCACAAAAAGCAACAGCGTTTTACGTATCACTTATCCTTTTGTAGCAAAGATAAATAGGGACAATTATTAATTATTTGCTACCACAATTCTTACGTTACACTATTATCCAGTTATTTACGTTATTGAATATTTTATAATTGTTTTCAGGTCATTCCGAAGCTCCGGTCAACAGTGGCCCGTGACACTCAACGTGTTAATAATATTCTTTTTATCGTTTCCTACGGAGAATGTTGTTGCCAGTATTTACTTTTCATTGTTTTCTTTTTTTCTCACATTCGCCTACAATCATATCGGTAAGCTTGTACGCCGCGCTCCGGAATCAGGGTTAAACGTGGCGCGATAATCTCGAGAGAAATGGGTGATCGATAAGCATGGCGAAACATGTCCGCAGGTCGACCTCCGGCACCTGGCCCAGACCGAGGAGTCGAACCGTATCGACGTCGGCATCGACCTGACCGACTACTACATTTCCGTCGAGTGGGACATCATAAAAGTGCCTGCCGTGAGGAACGAGGCGTTCTACATATGCTGCGAGGAACCGTTCCCGGATATCGTGTTCAATATTACGCTGCGCCGCAAGACCCTGTTCTACACGGTGAACCTGATCATACCGTGCGTAGGCATATCGTTCCTGTCGGTGCTGGTGTTCTACCTGCCGAGCGACAGCGGCGAGAAAGTGTCGCTTTCAATCTCGATCCTGCTCTCGCTGACGGTGTTCTTCCTGCTGCTGGCCGAGATCATACCACCCACGTCGCTGACGGTGCCGTTGCTCGGCAAGTACCTGCTGTTCACTATGGTGCTGGTCACGTTGTCCGTGGTGGTGACGATCGCCGTGCTGAACGTGAACTTTCGCTCGCCCGTCACCCATCGGATGGCCAAGTGGGTGCGGGTCGTGTTCATTCAAGTGTTGCCGCGGTTCCTTCTGATCGAGAGGCCTGGAAAGGACGACGATGACGATAAGGACGAGGACGAGGCCAGGAACGGCGGGATCGGCGTGATCGGCGTAAACGCGGACGGCGAGCCGGTCGACGACGAGGATGAGGATGACGAGGACGACGACGACGACGACGACGACGTCGAGGCGGCCAACGGGAAAGCTACCGATGGCATGCTCACCGATGTGTTCCATGTACAAGAGACTGATAAGTACGACGCGTACTACGGCAAGAGGTTCAGCGGCGAGTACGAGATACCCTCCCACGGGTTGCCACCCTCCGCGACCAGGTATGACCTCGGGGCCGTGGCCACCGTGGGGACCGTCGCGCCCTGTTTCGAGGAGCCCCTGCCCGCGCTGCCACTGCCCGGGGCTGACGACGACCTCTTCGGCCCGGCCAGCCCCGCTTACGTTCACGAGGACGTCAGCCCTACTTTCGAGAAGCCGTTGGTCCGCGAGATCGAGAAGACCATCGACGACGCCAGGTTCATTGCCCAACACGCCAAGAACAAGGACAAGTTTGAGAGTGTGAGTACACAATTCCAGTCTTGCCTATCCTCTACAGCTGCACGGAACTCCGTTCGAATAGCTGGCTCGTGGTTACTCGTGTTTAACACTAGACCTACCGAGAAGTTAAATTGTCTTTTTCAAATTGTTCTGTAGAAACCTCAACAGTGCAATTATTGAAACTTTGGTTTCCAATTCACTTTGTGTATTGCTGAACCAGTTTCTCTAGTACTTTTTGAGAAGCGTCTGTTATCTGTTGAATAACTGGAAAAAATTAAATCAGGAATGAGTCGTTTCGACTCATCCGGTAGTTCTAGTGTTAAATGTCTCGACCGGTTTTTCATGGAAAACGTTTATCGGTAACACTTATATCCTATTTTGCGTCGCGCGACTAAACAGATTCACTGCGAGATCGATTTTCTCGATTTAATCCGTCTGGTTGATTGAAATTAGCAAGGTTCCGTTTCGAAAGCGCGAGTGCGGATCATCCTCTTTTCCCTTGTATTATCTACGGTAGCGCGGAAAGTCTCTGTATAGGTGCTTGAATTTGAGGTACGACTCGTCATCGCTCGTTTCGAACCCAGGGCCAGAGAGGTTTCGTTCCGCCAAGATTCCGTTCCGACCGGAACGGTTACGGCGGACCGTGGATAGCGCTCGAAACCCGGGGTTTTCGGTGCGCCACTCGAAGCTATTTGTTTTTCCGTTAAGCGGGAGCGGGAGTGAGCACGGGCCAAGATAGAATCGGACCTCCGACGGGTAAGCGCAACGCGGGATCGAACGAGCGGCAAGAGATCTCGCCTGGAATCGATACTCCATTTGGAAAAGTAGAACGATGCGGATGAAATAATAAAAGCATCGCGTTCGCTCGCGTTGTACCGGTGAAAGAATATCGAGCGGAAGGGGGCTAGGGCCGAGGGGATGCTCGGGTCGGGACACGGATCGGGCCGTAGCGTCGATCGAAAGAACGCTCTTTCATCTTTAGCAGTAATCCGCGTCATGGAATCGGAAATGGACCGTGCAAATCACGGTGAATCGAGCTGCCGCGGGCTGTGATTAGGAGTGCCGGGGTCAGGTCAGCGAAAGCAAATTATAACGAATCAGCCGTAGGAGTCGTGATTCGAAAGCCGGATAGGGTGCCGGCAATAGTATCGGGGATGGTATTAATCAGCCGTAAGCGCCTCGGAATCCGATTGCTGTTAATAGCTTCCCTTCCGATTGTTCGCCGCCGTTCTAGCCGATGTCACTGCAGCCGCCGCCGTTCGATCGCGCCGCGCGATTCCTTGTTGCCGCACGATGGAATCTGCCCGAAACTACGCACGCTTTACGGCGAAACAGAGACGTCGCGTTTAGTCGCGTCGCGTCGCGGCGGGGCGTCAAATTCGACGCGAAACGGGAAATTTCCTTGTGCCGGAGACATTCGAAACTGAAACGCGCGGAACGTTTCTGTTCCCTTTGCCGATGGGGAGTGCGTGAAACCGACGGAATCAATGATTTCGCGCATCGATTTTCGCGCGACCGTTTGGCTCGCGGATGCCCGAAAGGGATTTCGTCGCGAATTACACTCGCCTCTCCCGTTGCGCGACCGGGAATCCAGGTAGCGCGTGCACGACCGTACAACGGTGTATAAAGCCGGTCGTACTGAGCCGCGTAGCCGATCGTTACAGTCCCACGGTCATTTTCCGTTTCAACTCCTCTTGAGAACGGCATTGGAATTCAATGAACGCGTCCTCCCCGAGTCCCAAACGCTCCTCCAGTGCGTCGTGACGAGGCTTTTAATTAAAATCACGGTTCTCCGAGGACAGTGGACTGGATTGAAAAAAATAGTTGTTATTTTGTTGTAACTCGTCGGACGCAGAGGGTATAGGGATGAATTTGCAATAAAATTCATTAGAACATTGATCATAATGATGATCATTGTAATAGGTTTCATGTTTTTTAAATCAGTTTTCAATTATTTGGACGATAATAACTTGTAAGGTCGGGCGTGGTCGGAGATGATTCTTGTATAATCTTGCAAAGAAAAGTTGAATGTAACCCAGTTCTTTGTGATCGAAACGTTATTCCTTGCAACATGTAAAGAATTCTGAGAACTTTCATTAGCATATTAAGTTTCATTGTTTCAGTAGATAACAAGCAGTATCGTTTAGTGCAAGTGTTATTTTAATCAGAAAAGTATGCAGAACATTTTAAAACCAAAACGGATGAAAAATATTGAACAGAGTCATCATGACATCATGCAGAAGAAAATCTCTTTGTGAGAAATGCATCTTGGCACATCTAACTTTTGATGTTTACTACAACTACAAACTTTACTAAATTATATTAATCTTTCCGTTTCCGAGGTTCTCAGACATTCAACAACCGAAATACATAAAACCGATATCGATTCGGGGAAGTCGATTTCTCGGCAAAACGACACCTACTTTCCCGATTCATCCCACCGTGCGCCGTTTCAGCCGAACAAGCGCGGAACGCGGCCGAATCTCTTTCGTCGCCGAAAGAAACAGAATGTCTACACGCCGGTCGCAAAGACAAAAGAACGGCGTGTTCTTTGAGGACGATGCCTGGCTGCTGGTTAGCGTATTATTAGTTGGGCAAACGCCTTTAACGTCGTCGGCACACTTCCGCCTCGCGTCCTGTCGTGAATAGGCGAAAGTTAACCAGCTCCGAGACTTCGCTTTGACTTCGCGCAAAGGCCGGCTCGTGCCGCGTTTAGCTCCGACGAACGCGGAAACGCGAAGCGTCTGGCCGATAACCTGACCGATCGCCACCGTTTCCCCATCGATCTCTCGGCGTACGGCTCCCGGCGATACGCTCCGCGCGAACATCGGGGAAATCCAAATTTTTCATTTACCGCCGACTATGTTAACGACTGCGTCCGAGCGAAACGGGAGCACGGCTCTTGCCCGCGAAAAAATCCTCAAACGGATTAGCTCTATGTAGTTCGAGTGCTCGTTCCGCGTAAGTTCGTTTCCTCCTTCTCACTCTCTCTCTTTTTCATTCTGTTTCCCGTTGGTCTGATCTATGGCGGACTCATTCCACTAGAGCACCACCACAAGCCTACGCGCAGATTAGGCGGCATTATCTTTCCGCGGCGTGGAAAGTTCGTTGCGCCGGGCGTGCTTCTACTGGAATCGTTCGTTAAGTTCCGACGAATAATTCTCGCAAAATTTCGGAAAAACTACAAGAGCCCGGCGAGCGCGAGCGGCGTGGTCGCGCCAAGTTTCCGGTACGGTCGACTCCGTTCCCAAGTTCCGTCGCGCGCCGCGAGTGTAAAACTCCGGAAATTGGTTCAGACGTCGACGTCCTCCCGTCCCTGCGCGGGGAATTTCGAAGTTGAGACATTCGTCCGGGCGACCGTAAATTCGAACGAATTTATGCTTCCTATTTCATATTTGCGCGGAACGAGCGCCGTGACACAGTTCCGTCGCGTATCGAGTTTAGTCGGCGCTCGCCCCGCGGAAACCTCTCCGCGCGAAGTCTCGCGTGCCTGGAGCGCGTCCGGTCCAGAGAACTGTACCTAAAGTACGCCCTCCCAAGTTGCCCGAGTACCTGCAAGTTAAAGCTGCATTGGGGGAAGGGGAATCGTTCGCTTGCTCCACCCAATTCTGTCTGAGAAAACTTCCAGCGCAAGGCCTCTGATAGAAAAATTAGGGTTACCACTTTAGGTACACTTTCCTTTACAACGTCAGCTATTTTCCTTATTATTTCATGCGAAACGCTCACATTTCTCGTCGAGATTATTACCTCTAAAAAGATCAACGACGAACGCACTTCGATTATGTACTCCTCGTTCGACTTATTTCGTTCGAGAAGCAATTTTCTATCTAATTTGAAGAAACATTCCCCTTTTTGCCTTTGTGCAGTTTCGTTTTGTCGATAGTCGAGCAGCGGGAGACGTACTTTGCGTTTAGACGCGATCCGCGAAGGATAAACTCATTCTTACCTGTTATTTCGGCGAACAACTTCGCCGGCTGCCGGAAGTCCGAGTCGATGTTTCGAATGGGCGAGGGGCAGGGGGTCGCGTCAGTTGCCAACTTCGTGTTTTTAGCAGACTTTGCGCAGTCGACTGATCCGCGGGGGGCGACGAAGTTCGTCCGGTGGTTCGGCTACCGAAAATATAATTTGTCCGGTGACGTGGACGCGTACCGACGGAGGCAGCTGTCTCCAGAAAGTGTCGATGAATATCGTTTTCGTTTTACCTTGGAGTAACGGCGCTATTATTACGCTCCACGTTCCACTTTTCCGATATTACGGACGTGTTTTATGAAACTTGAGCGTAAAGAGGGTGCTATCAATGCCTGGCTCGGTGAAAACGCGATCGGGCTTTCCTCTGCCTCTCGTATCCCTCTCGCTCGCGTTCCTTGCCGCGGCTGATATTTAATCGATCGCGGTTCTTCCGCGGACACCGATTTCCCGGAAGCCGGGAGAACGTTTATCCGTGAATTATACGATGGTCGATTTCGGGAGCATTCGATATTTTCGTAGCTATTCGCGATACAGGCGACTGGCAAGTCAAGTCGTTAAAATTTCTGTGATCCTGCAGATGCTTTGATTTCCGCGTGCCACTTCCGCTCGGTTCCGAGGAGTCGAACGCGACTGTAAGCCTAAACTCGACGATCAGGGACACGCGAAATCTAGTTGCGGCTCTCGTGAATTATCGACGCAGACTATCCGAGAACGCACTGCGGCGGAATTCCGCTCGCTGCCAAATCTGCCCGCGTGCGTCTACGGCCGAAAACGCGACGCCAGTTAACCGTTACAAACCCGAAAAACGGTCAAACGAGTCCTAGTCGAACGGCCGCCTCGTTTCGCGACGCTTCTGCCTTCCGCCGGAAACAGATGTGTCGCCGGTGAGAGCAGAAGCGGGAGCAAGCAAAATAGTTGGACGCTGGAGGATCGCAAACCGCTCTGAAATTGTATAATTGTTTCGCGAGCCGTTCGAACACCGCAAGAGTGTTTCGAGCGGATCTCGCAGCTTCCAACGAACAGACATCGCGCTAGCTGCATCGACGAGTTCGGCGACTGCCGTGATCATTAACGACCACCGCTTTCAAATCGGCCGAATAAAGATATTTAGCAACGTAGGTAACTAGAAACTAGCGCAACCTAAGAACCGTGATATCAAATTGACCGTTTGTTGAGTCTGTTCTTTCAGTCACAATTCGATTCGACGCAGAATGTATAATTACAAAATTATACATTTAATATTACATTTTTTATAATACATTAGTACTTTAGGTAACCTTTGAAAAATATCATCTCATTAGAACGCTATGTATATTTATAGTAAAGGGATTTGTCGAGTGAAAAGGGCTGATACTTGTTTCTAATGTTATTTCTCTTCGCCCTAGAACGATGGGTAATTTTATACGAAACGCTCCACATTCTCGCGGCAGTGAACGCGTTAACATCCGATCCAGCGCGTCCCCAAGATGTGTTGGGTCTTCGCGACCTAGCCCGTCACAGGTAATCTTTCTCCCGCGCACAAGAGGCGAACTGTGTTTTACGATCGAGCTATAGTTTCTTCCCGGCCGTTACAACAAACCCGCAACCGGGCTTTCTCCGGCGGCTGTGGATTGGCTCGACGCCAGGGGCTGGTGTCGCGAAGGTGCCGCCGAGAAGGATTTTACTCGGCGTGATCCCGGATTAAACAAACTTTTTCGATCGTCGTAATTTCGTCTCGCCCGCCGGCTTAGTCCGCGCGGATCCGCGACTCGGATGAGCTTGTCGCGAAAAATGGGGCTCTGCTTCGCACAAACACGGGTACCCGCGTTGCTGGCGAGTTGGCGCTCGGGAGGAACGCGAGTCTAATTGGTCGGAACGGTAGAGTTTCCCTTCGAACCCATTCCACATTGATTTCCTGTAGTAACAAGTTGCTCGTCGACGGAATGAACGTTTAACGCGGCAGAAACGAAGCAAATGAACTTTGCACGTTGAATTTTATTCCGTTTTTCTCGGTTCAAAGTCATTCGAAGATCATACCCTGTTACACGCTTGAACTCGTTCAAGTGCCCGCAACGATTGGCATTGGCGTTAACGAATAATTTCGCATTAAATATGTGTCTTGTTAAATATCGAGCGTGTTTTATACTTCCCATGAAAACCGGGAATTTTTCTGAGCTATTGAAATACGTTAATGCGTTTTGTTAGATACTGATTAATTGTCGGTTATTAGGAAATTTCGATGTGATCTGACTCTGTTTAACGTTAAAGAAAATTACGTAACAAATGTACAATATACAGTTGCGAAACTTATCGTATGTCCATAGATATGCAGCAGTGCTTCTGTAGTCAATAACTTTGAACGATTATATCTCCGTAACTACACACGATAAAATAACATAATTCAGTGCTACGAAAACACGTCGACGGTCCTACATGATTACAAAATTAGAAATATAAATTCGCGGTTGAAATGTTACTTTTGTCATTCAAAAAATTTCGAGGCATCCCTATAATGTCAAAGGAAATATAACCACCGTATGTTTAGCTCTATTTCTCGCAACTTCAGTCCGGAGCATTTTTTTTTTATCGCTTATACTTTTTAAGTTATCGAGTTCTGCCGAGAAAACGAGCGTTCGGCCGCGCTCCGTCCCTCTCGCAGGGACATCATAAAGGTATCGGGCGTCCGTTTTATCGTCCACTTCCTCCCGCGTCGCGGAGGGAATCGAAATAAGTCGATACACCCTCCGGATGACGGATCCGTTGTCTGCGTCGGTTGTTTCCGGGCGAAGGAGTAGGGTGACGGTGTATACGTCGTAAGGGTGCTCGATTGAAACTTCGGAGATAGAACTCGCCTTTTAGCTATGTACATAAAGTCAACCGACTGGGAGCACGTTTATGATGGATCCAACTCGGCGTCGAGTAGATGATACTTCGTCGAGAGACGACGGTAGAAAACTCCGGGAAAATGTATCCCGTTCTCAGAACGGGATAGCACAGCCGCGCGGAAACGCGGCTCGCGTCCTGGGAAACGCCGCGTCGTTTACGACGGTGTTCGGTTGTTGGGACTCGCGCTCGTGACTCCTTTTCCCAGGCAATTTCTGTGCCGCGGGACGGTGGTATATCGGAAATCGGACATCGGATGATACGAACGAAGCTCGTTGCCGCGAATAACCGAGCAGCGAGAGGCGACTAATTCGAATATTCGTTTGAGATCAGTTCGATCGGCAGATTAACTGGACGTTCGTCGAACATTTTCTGTTTCCAGGTGGAGGAGGACTGGAAGTACGTCGCGATGGTCCTCGACCGGATCTTCCTCTGGATATTCACGGTGGCTTGCGTGGTCGGCACGGTGTTGATTATCTTCCAAGCGCCGAGTCTTTACGACACGACGAAGCCGATCGACATCAAGTACAGTAAGATCGCGAAGAAGAAGATGATGCTGATGAACATGGGTCCCGAGGAGGACTAGTCGACGATTCCGCGCGGCCTCGCGCCGCGTCGTCGTCGACGCCGTCGTCGGCGTCATCATCGTCTTTGCCTCTGTCATCGTCGTCGTCGTCGTCGTCGCCGTCGTCGTCATCGTCATCCTCGTCGTCACCGTCGCCGACGCCGTCAACGTCGTCCAGTAGACGCCGCCCGCCATCGAAACTGCCGATTTTCGCGTCGACGCGGAGAAGGACCCTCTCTCGATCGCCGCTGCTGCTGCCAGACATGAGTGTCCCCCGACGCACAGTCCGGGGACAGAACGAAACGAACGAACGAAAAGTTGCGCGCGAGCCGAACCGGAGAAAGGGGATTGTCAGTCGTGCGACGATGATTCGTTCGGGTGACTGGTTCGTCGTTCTCATCGGCGAATCCGGTATATCCGAGTATCCGTGGCGTGGATCTGTCCCTCTCCGAACTATGGACCTAGGGTCGCCTAGGGATATCTCCGTGACGAACTCTTCGAAACAGAGAGAGAGAGGGAGAGGGAGGGAGAGAGAGAGAGAGAAAGAGAGAGAGAGAGAGAGAGAGAGAGAGAGAGAG